CAAATAAACATAAATATATAAATATAAATATACAAATGCAAGTATTAAATATACAAGTAAAAAGACATAAATAAATAAATAAATAAATATAAATATAAATATAAATATATATATATATATATATATATTACTATATTGTTTACGTCAACGGCTAGCTTAAAAAGAAATATATATTTACATATACAGAATATACATTTATATTTATATTTATGTTTATATGCATGTTTATATTTATGTTTATATGTTTATATTTACGTTTATATTGATATTTACATTTATATTTTTATGTTTATATTCTAACAATTTAATCTGCTGCGCTCGGCCTTTGCTCTATTAAGAAATGCTGCATGCAGCTCGCCAGCAGCAGCAGCAGCAGCAGCGGCGGCAACAGTAGCATGAACAGCAGCACCATCAGCAACACCACAGCAGCAGCAGCAGCAGCAGCTGCTGCTACTGCAGCGGAGGATCTGCTGCTGCTGCTACTACTGCCGCTGCAGCAGCATTTGCTGCTGCTGTTACTGCAGCAGCAACAGCAGCAGCAGCAGCAGCAGCAGCAGCAGCAGCATGCATTAACAAGGGCCTTGGAAGCTCTGTCTGTCTTTTCTCGCAATGCCTATCAAACCAGAGACTGAATAAACAAAACAAACAAAACAAATAAAACAAACAAAACAAATAAAACAAATAAAACAAATAAAATAAAACAAATAAAATAAACAAAACAAATAAATATGAATTAGTTAAACTCAATCAAATAAAGATCAGTACAATGTAAATATATATATATATATTATATATATATTATATGTATATACATATATAATACATATATTATATATATATATATATATATATATATTTAAATGAACTAAGTACTTTGAACTAGTAAAAATAAATTAAACTAAAATATATTATATTAATAAAATTAATAAAATAAATTAAACTAAATAAATTAAACTAAATAAATTAAACTAACTAAATTAAACTAAATAAATTAAACTAAATAAATTAAACTAAATTAAACTAAATTAAACTAAATTAAATAAATATAATTAAATAAATTAATCAATTAAACTAAATAAATTAAACTAAATAAATTAAAGAAAGTCTAATACCGAGCATGCAAATCATCGAGCCGAATATCATCGCGAGCAAAAACAAAACCAGATAATGATCTGCTTTTCTCTTCTTCACCTGCACATAAATAAATATATAAATATAAATAAATAAATATAAATAAATAAATATAAATGTATAAGCATGCGCAGATCAATATAAATATATATATATATATAAATATATATATATAAATGTATGTATATATATCCGCATATATTTAGTCTGCTTTTCTCTTCTTCACCTGCATATAAATAAATAAATAAATTTAAATAAATAAATATAAATAAATATAAATAAATAAATATAAATAAATATAACTAAATAAATATAACTAAATAAATATAAATAAATAAATACAGATAAATAAACATATATGTATAAGGATGTGCAAATCAGTAGATATACATATATATATATATAATATATATATATATTAATATATATATATATATTTATATGTTTAAAGATTAATTGATATATATGTTTAAATATAATTATATTGATTGACACACCACTCTATCAACGAGAAACTTGCCGACGAGTGCAGCAGCAAAACAAAGACAGAAAAGCAGCAAACAGTACTCCCAGGGTACAGCTCCGCTGATTAAACTTTTTGCTGCTGCGCTGCTGCTGCTGCACAATACTGCTGTTGTATTTACTGCTGTCACTACAGCAGGCAGCATCCCTTGAGACAGCATCAGAGGACCCATCACCATTGACCCTCCAATACCCACGACCCCGCCTGCAGCAGCAGCAGCAGCAGCAGCAGCAGCAGCAGCAGAAGCAGCAGCAGCAGCAGAAGCAGCAGCAGCAGCAGAAGCAGCATCAGCAGAAGCAGCAGCAGAAGCAGCAGCAGCAGCAGGAGTAAGAACGATGCAATAAACAGTAGTAGGAGCAGGGATGCAAGCAGCAGCACCGTGAAGGCAAGCAGCAGCAGCAGAAGCAACAATAATACATGCAACAGAAGCAGCAATGCATGCAACAGTAGCAGCAGATATATTGCAAGCTGTAGGAATGATAGCAGCATAAGCAGCATACATCAGCAGCAGCAACTACAGCACCGGCAAGCAGCAGCAGCAAATAGCAGCAGCTGCAACCTTCTCTGCAGCACCAGCATAACCACCACCAATGCAGCAGCAGCAGCACGAGCAGCAGCAGCAGATGCAAGAGCAGCAGCAACAGCAGTATCAGCAAGAAGAGCAGCAGCAGCAAGAGCAGCATCAACTGCAGCAGCAGCACGAGCAGCATCAATTGCAGCAACTGCAGCAGCAGCAACAGCAGCATCAACTGCAGCACCTGCACGAGCAGCATCAATTGCAGCAACTGCAGCAGCAGCAACAGCAGCATCAACATCAACTGCAGCAGCAGCAGCAGCATCAACAGCAGCAGCAGCAGCAGCAGCAGCAGCAGCAGCACGTACCAACGATGCCTGCCCCTATACTTTGTAGGAAGAATCTAAAGGCAACAGGAGCTGTGAACGATATGTCTCCTTTGGTTTTGCTGAGCAGAGACACTTTGCTGCTGCTCTTATCTCTAATCACAAGCCTGACGGCTTGATAAGCAGCAGCACTCAGCAGCAAAGCAGCACCAGCCACGTACAGCAGCCAGTACTCCCACCCGCAGAACGGCACCTGCAGCAGCAGCAGCAGCAACAGCAACAGCAGCAGCAGCAGCAGCACAGAAGCAAAAGCAGCACTATAAGAAGAGGGCATGCATTCCCAAGCCATCAACACATGCACGCAGCTGTTGTTGTTGTTGCTGCTGCTGCTGCTGCTGCCGGTGCTGCTGCTGCTACTTGCAAACTGCAGGGAAGGAATACAAACTGCTGCAGCAGCAAAGGCCCCAGACGGCAGCCGCAACAGCAGCAACCAGCAGCAACACGAGCAGCACAAGCCCCAGAAGCAAGAGCAAAAACAACAGCAGCAGCAGCAACAGCAGCAGCAGCAACAACAGCAGCAGCAGCAGCAACAGCAGCAGCAGCAGCACCAGCAGCAACACGAGCAGCAGCATCAGCAGAAACACCAACAGCAAAACCAAGAGTAGCAGCAACAGCCGCAGCACCAGCAACAGGAGACCCATAAGCAGCAGCAGCAACAGCAGCAACAGCAGCAACGGCAACAGCAGCAGCAGCAGCAAAAGCAACAGCAGCAGCAGCAGGCTTACGAGGTGAAACCGCGAATGTTTGTTACCCCTGACGGCGGCGAGGCCCACATCAGTCAGCCACAGCAGCAGCAACACCAACCATTTCTGCAGCAGCAGCAGCAGCAGCAGCAGCAGCAAACACAGGTGAGGCCGGGAGCCCTTGAACTGCTTCTCAATCAGCAGCAGCAGCAGCAACAGCAGTACCGAGAGCAGCAGCAACAGCCGCAACAGCATCAACAGCAGCACCAGTAGCACCAGTAGCAGCAGCATTAGCAACAGCAGCAACGACAACAGCAGCAGCAGCAGCAGCAGCAGCAGCAGTTTACTGTTGGAGAGTAGATTTGTGTGCAGCTCTTTATTTGTGTATCATTTGCTGTGCTGTGCGGTTTGCTGCTGCTGTCTTTGTCTTTGGTTTCGATGCTGTCTGCTGCTGCTAGCTGCTGCAGCGCAGCCGGTGGACTTTGCTGCTCAAGAATATCAAGACCCTGCTGCTGCTGCTGTCCTAGCTCGAGCTCGTGAGGCGTTTTGCCTTGCTGCTGCTGCTGCTGCTGCTGCTGTTCTCCCTGTGCTGCACCGCAGCAGGCGTCTGAAGAGAGGCGGCGTTTGGGCAGAGTGTCAAAAGAAGCTGCAGCAGCAGCAGCAGCAGCAACAGCAGCAGCAGCAGCAGCAACAGCAATAAGATCATCGTACTGCAGCAGCAAAAGAGAAGCCGTAAGACATGCAGATGGTGGGGCTTGAGAAGAGGGTTTTTGCTGCTGCTTACCTTGGTCTAGCTGCTGTTGTTCATGCTGCTGCTGCTGCTGCTGCAGGTCTGGCGGCGTTGCTGTTTGTTCTGCTGCTGATGCTGCTGTGTCTTGCTGCACTGGTGAAGTAGAGAATGAGACTACTTCGAGGGATTTGCTTCCGTTTGCTTCATCTACTGCTGCTGCTGCAGTTGCTGCTGCAGTTGCTGCAGTTGCTGTTGCTGCTGCTGCATTAGTTGACCCCGCAGCAGCAGCCTCAGCATCAGCAGCAGCCCCTAAACCAGCGGCAGCATCAGAATCAGCAGCAGCAGCAGCAACAGCAGCATCAGCAGCAGCAACTCGTTCCCGCTTCCTGTCTGCAGCAAGACGTTTATATTGCTTAATGCATTTAAATGCTGAGAACGACAAGACAACAAGCAGCAGCACCATGATCAGCCACGACGGTAAACATCTGTTTATCACGAGTCCAAAGGATACACCTGCTGTCTGTGCAGGACCGAAGAAAAGCACCTGCGCATACACCCCAAATGCATGCACACATACACATACATACAGCAGTAATATTTTCTTCCTTCGTTTGCTGCTCCTGCTGCTGCAGTTGCTGCTGCAGTTGCTGCTGCAGTTGCTGCTGCTGCGGGGGGGCAGCTGTCCACTGCAAATAGCTGCGGCTGATTGTCAAAAAGGGCCTTCAACAGCAACAGCAAAGCCGAAGCAGCAGCAGCAGCAGCAGCAACACCAACAGCAATAAGAGCAGCAGCAGCAGGAGCAGCGGCAGCAGCAGCACCACCACCAACAGCAGTAAGAGCATCAGCAGCAGGAGCATCAGCAGCAGGAGCAGCAGCAGAAGCAGCATCAGCAGCAGCAGCAGCAGCAGCAGCAGCAGCAGCAGCAGCAGCAGCAGCAGCAGACTAACAAGGTCCATATCAACAAGAGGCCGATTAGGATCTAAGGGGTGTCTCCTTTGAAGGCTGAGGAGACAGCCGCTGAAGACGCCGCCAAACATTAAGGTCTGGCTGGTTACTGTTGCTTCATGAGTAGAAAACTGCATTATTAAAGTCATTAAAGGTACGTACACCGCACCCCCTGCAGCAGCAGCAGCAGCAGCAGCAGCAGCAGCAGCAGCACAAGCAGCACAAGCAGCACAAGCAGCAGAAAGAGCAGCAGAAATGAAGTACACAGTGATGCAGCAGCAGCGGGAATAGCAATAGCAGCAACAGCAGCAGCAGCTAAACTAATAGCAGCTACATAAGCGTCAAAAGCAACAGCAGAGACAGCAGTAGCAACAGAAGCAGCAGCAGCAGCAGCAGCAACAGCAGCAGCAGCAACTGACCTCCTGTCCCTGCGCAAACAGCAACAATGCTGGCGAGAGCAATTAAAAATATCCCTAAGTACTGCCGCCAAGTCGCATCCTTCAGAGACTTCAGCTTAGGGCCCTGCTGCTGCTGCTGCTGCTGCTGCTCATCATCAAGTGAGGCAGCCAGACGCCGAGGTGCTGCTGCTGCTGCTGCTGCTGCAGGAGTTGCTTCTAAGCCCTTGCTTTGCGCGTAGCTGCAGGGGCCTCCACTTGGGAAGATTTGAAACAACGGTTCCTGCTGCTGCTGCTCCTGCAGCTGCTGCAGCTGCTGCGGCTGCTGCAGCAGCAGCAGCAAGGTAAATAACATTGCTGCGCAGCAAGCAACAGAGACACCGCTCCACAGCAGCGGAGGGCTCCTGACTCTGCACTTCATTGAAGAGGTCTTGCAAGCGCATGCAGCCCCAAACTGCTGCAGCTTAGCAGCAACAATGCTGCTGCTGCTGCTGCTGTTGCTGGTGCTGCTGCTGCTGACCTGCAGCTGCAGCGGATGAGGGCTTTGCTGGGAGCGTTGCATCTTGATAACAGCAGCTGATAGTTGTCTTGCTGCTGGTGGTGCTGCTGCTGCTGCTATTGCTGCTGCTGCTGCTTCTGCTGCTGCTGCTGCTGCAGCGGCTGCTGCAGCGACCTGGCTAAGTTAGAGTAGCTGCTGCGCCAGGCCTCCGCGGTGTATATGCAGCAGCAGCAAGCAAACCAGACAAAGTCTAACAAAAAAATAAAAAATATTTTAATGTCTCTTAAACAAAACAAATATACAAATGCCGTCTCCACGTCGCTCATTGTGGGGCCCCAGGAATGGGGGCCCCAGGGGGGGGCCCCAGAAGCAAAACCCTAAACCCTAAACCCTAAACCCTAAACCCTAAACCCTAAACCCTAAACCCTAAGCTCTAAACCCTAAGCTCTAAACTTTAAACTTTAAACTTCAAACTTTAAACAATCTACTGCATACACTATTCACCATCTGTAGCATAAACTCTATAAACCGTAAGCTCCGTAGAGCCTAAACCCTAAACCCTAAACCCTAAACCCTAATGAACCCTAGAGACATTAATGTCTCTACACTCTGAAGCCTGTAAACCTCTCAACTGTCTAAACCCTAAGCCCTAAACCCTAAACCCTAAACCCTAGAACGACTGCCACCAGAGGCACCGGCGCTCCCCCAATGGGACTAGGGTTTAGGGTTTAGGGTTTAGGGTTTAGGGTTTAGGGTTTGTATGAGAGATGATTCGTTTCTCTTGAATAACCGCTAAAGGGTTTAACAAGGAGACAGCTGAGAAACCCCTGCCTGTCTCCTCCAGCAGCAGCAGCAGCAGCAGCAGCAACAGCATCATTCCTGCTGCGCGTGTGACGACAGCAGCAGTAGCAGCAGCAGCCGCATCGGCTTTTGCTGCAAGCAGAGCAGCAGCAGCAACAGCAACATCAGCAATAGCAACATCAGCAATAGCAACAGCAGCAGCAACATCAGCAATAGCAGCAGCAACAGCAGAGTACTATGTTATGAGCGCTTCTGTTTGCTCCCTGGAGCCTCTTGCTGCTGCTGCGGTCTGTCTCTGTACTGCAGCACCTTCAACTTAAATGTAGACAGTTTCACCCAAATAAAACATTTGCTGCAGCAGCAGCAGCTGCAGCAGCTGCAGCAGCAGCAGCAAAAGCTGCTGCTGCTCTCTGCCGCTGGAAACACCTGCTACGGCTGCAGCAGCACAGCGTTCAGCTGTCTCCACTGCAGCAGCAGCAGCAGCAGCTGCAGCCTCTGCTGCAGCTGCTACTGCTGCTGCACGTGCAGTGTCTAAGGAGCAGCTGTTGCTGCTGCAGCACTTAAGGTGCCTAACAAAGAGCAGCAGCAACAGCAGCAACAACAAAGTCTGCTGCTGCTGCTGCTGCTGCTGCTGCTGCAGCTGCTTCTGCTGCAGTTGGGGTGTCTAGAGAGCTCCCACATGCTCTGCAAGTGGCTGCAGCGCTTCTTGTTTAAGTTTGTCTCTTTCGCCTGCTTGCTGCTGTCTCCTGTCCATGTGCAGCAGCAGCAGCTCAAGCCTGCCTTTAAGAATCATTAGCGCATCGCCTAGCTGTCTCCTTTGCCGCAGCAGCCGCTGCAGCAGCACAAGCTGCTGCCTACCTTCAGGAAGGCTTGCAAGAGAGGGTGCTTGCTGCTTGACTATCTCTTCAATCCAGGGCCCTTTCATAATGCTGCTGCTCGGTTTCTGCTGCTGCTGCTGCACCAGCAGCTGCAGCAGAGACAGTGCATGCGAAGGAGACAGTGCTGCTGCTGCTGCTGCTATCTCTCTCTTCTTTAGCTGACCCTTCGATATAACAGATTCTAACAGAGACAAATCTGCTGTCAGCAACGCCTGCCGCAACACTGATGCAACGCTGCTGCTGCTGCTGCTGCTGTTACCCGCTGCTGCTGCTGCTGCTGCTGCCTCCCGTCGCTGCTTCTTATGGGCCTCGCCTTCAGGGCCTGTGCTGTTGCTGCTGCTGCTGCTGCTTGCTGCTGCTCTTTTGAGTGACGAAATCGCAGCGTCCTGCGGCAAGATAGCTTCTGCTGCTGCTGCTGTTGCTGCAGCTGTCTCCTTGCTGCTGCTGCGGCGCGCTCGCTGCTGCTGTTCTTCTTCTAGAGTGATTGCAGCAACTTGCTGCATGCCCCGTCTGTTGCTGCTGCTGCTGCCTGGAGAAGGCATCGGAAGCACCAGCTGCTGCCCTGCTGTTGCTGCTGCTGCTGCTGCTGCTGCACTCATAGGCAATGCTACGTGGCACACAGGGTCTAGCAAGGCTCCCCTAGCGACGTACAACCCCTGCTGCTGCTGCTGCTGCTGCTGCTGTTGCTGCGGCTGCTGCTGTATGTAGAACACCCCGCCGTTCTCCGCTGCTGCTGCTGCTGTCGAAATCTTGGTGCTGATCTGCTGCTGCGGCTGCAGAGGCACTGCAGCAGCTGCGGTGTCTATACACCAGGCAACTATCTGCTGCTGATCTGTGAGACACAACAGCATCTGCTGCTGCTGCTGCTGCTCCTGCTCCTCCTCCTCATCTTCATCAACCCCAGCTGCGCTGCTGCTGCTGCTGCTGCTGCTAAGAAACGTCAGCTGCAGCAGCCGCTGATGGTAGGCGAGGACACCCCACAGGGGCACCTTCAGCTTCTTGCTGCTGCTGCTGCTGCTGCTGCTGAAGAGATGCTGCGGCAGGCGCCACACTGCAATTTGCTGCTGCTGCTCTGCATGTACTGTCTTCAAGCAGACAGCAGCAACAATACCCGCTTCAGCATCAGCAGCAACAGCAGCAAAGCCTGCTGTCCCCCCTTGCAGCTTAGCTACCAGCTGCTGCTGCTGCATATCGAAGAGCACCAAGTTGCTGCTGCTTCCGCTGCCGCTGCTGCTGCTGCTGCTGCCCAGCAGCACCAGCTGCCGCGTCTTCCCTGCTGCTGCTGCTGCACTCTCCCCCACCCGCTGCTGCTGCTGCTGCAGCAGCAACGCGTGAGTGAAGCCCCGCCCGACATCTGAAGAGCGCAGCACCATCCCTTGCTGCAGCAAATCGATGACTAGCAGCGAAGAGATTGTGGGGCCCCTCCGCAGCAGCACAAGCAGCTCGCTGCTGCTGCTGCTGCTGCTGCTGCTGTTGCTGGAGATGGGTAGCAAGGCCCGCACCGCAGCGCTTCCGCTTCCCCCTGCTGCAGCAGCTGCTGCTGTTGCTGCTGCTTCATCTTCTTCTGCTGCTGCTGCTGCAGCAGCAGATGGATTCAAATGCGTAGAAAAAAGGAGAGACCCTTCGTTGCTGCAGTCTAAAGCAGCAACCATACCCGTCTCTGTCCCTATCACCAGCAACAGTCTGCTGCTGCTGCTGCTGCTGCTGCTGCTGCTGCTGCTGATGTTAACAAATGCTAGCTGGGAGATCGACTGCCCCAAGAACTGCCGCTGAAACTCGAGCGACTCCACCGCTGCTTCTGCTGCTGCCTCGCTGCTGCTGCTGCTGCTGTTATGTGCAGCAGCAGAAGCAGTAGAGCTGCAGCGCCAAACTCGAACTGTGCTGCGCGGCAACACACCGCGGCTGTCGTAATGCTGCTGCTGCTGCTGCTGCAGTGCGGGATTAGCAGCAGAAGCAAAGTAGGTGCCGCAAGGAGAGAAGGCAGACCAGCCGGAACGAGGGAGGGAAGCAGCACCATTTGCTGCTGCTGCAGCTGCTGCTGCTGCAGCCGCTGCTGCTGCTGCTGCTTTACCCATCCTGTGCTGCTCGGGACGCCTCCTGCTGCTGCTTCTACTGTTGTTGCTGCTGCTCGCCCCACAACAGCGGCGGCTCCTGCGCACACACCACCTCCCTTACAAACTGCTGCTGCTGCTACTGCTGCTTGCTATGTAGTTGTATGTACTTGTGCTGTTGCTGTTGCCGTTGCTGCTGCTGCAGCTGCCTAGGTATTACTTCTGCTGCTGCTGTTGCTGTTGCTGCTGCTGCTACTTTCTCTGCTGCAGTTGCTTCCGCATCAGCAGCATCCATGCATCCAACCTTCCTGTGAGAAGGAGCAGCAGCAGCAGCAGCAGCGGCAGCAGCAACGGCAGCAGCAGCAGTAGCTGCAGGCAGACCCCTCACCGCAAGAGACAGCTACAGCAATTCTAGCACAAGCAGCAGGAAGCAAATAAAATTTAAATTATTTATTTAAACAACAAAAGGAGAGAGCGGCGGGCAATATTAAACGGAAGTACCGCCCCACATGCAGCAGCAAAGCTGCTGCTGCTGCTGCTGCTGCTGCTGCTGCGGGCCCCACGCCGCAAGCCACACTCCTGCTGCTGCTGCTGCTGCTGCTGCTGCTGCTGCATGCAATAAAAAACAGAAGCATTTGTCTTTGTATAGCTTCTTTCAAGAAGATTCCTTTTCTTGCTTATCCTTTGTTGCTGCTGCCGCTGCTGCTGCTGCTGTTGCTGTTGCTGCTGGGCCTTGTACCGTGCAACAGCAGCAGCAGCAACTGCAGCAACTGCAGCAGCAACAAGGCGCAGCCGTTTGTTTACATTTAGCTGCTGCAGCCTACTGCTGCTACAACATCATAACGTATAAGTTGTTTCTAAGCTAGAGTGCCTCTGCTACTGCTGTTGCTGCTGCTGCTGTTGCTGCTGCTGCTGCTGCCGCTTCGATTGCTCTACAGTCGGCTGTCGTTGCTGAAGGCCCAGCAGCAGCAGCGCTAGCAGCAGCACTCGAAGCAGCAGCAGCAACTGCAGCAACTGCAGCAGCAGCGCCAGTGGAGTGGGGTAGCATCTCCAGCAGCAACAGCACCAGCAACAGCAGCAGCAGCAGCAGCAGCAGCAGCAGCAGCAGCAG